TGATAGGAGTGACGTGAGGCGATCGTCACATACCTCCCCCCTAAGAAAAGTTTGGTTCATGGGGGAAACCTTATAATTTAACCTTATGAACAATGAAATTTGCAGGGAACAGTTCCTCCAAACTATCATTACAATAACATGTTAACTATTAAATCATGTACCATACGTTACTCTTTAACATAATATATTTACCTTATACAATGCTTCTGCAGAACTTATTTTAGATTTTCTCTCACTATGTTTAACAGATCAAACTTATCATTTTAAACATTTAAACCAATCAATACAATTATAACCATTTGCATTAATTGTCTTAATACTACTCACATTACTTTTACATTTAAACCATTACTTACCATTTTCCCCCATCAAGACATTGTAGTTTAATCACTTCTCAAAACTAGTATCCAAACAGAACATTTCTTACAACATTACAACGTTACACCTTTTCTTTTCCATCCATCCGTTATTCCTTTGGTCTTCAAGAAAACGCATCAGCCACTATGTTCTGGGTTCCTTTCACATTGCGGTTTTCAAAATCAAAGTCCTGAAAGAGTAGGGCCCACTTCAACAGTTTGTTGTTATTAGCCCGAATAATCCTTAGCCACAAAAGTGGGGAATGGTCAGTGCATAGTACAAAATGTCTTCCCCAGATATATGGTATCAGTTTTTGCAATGCCCAGACTATGGCTAGGCACACCTGCTCAATCGTAGATAAATGCCTCTCACCCGCCTGCAGTTTCTTCCTGAGGTAGGTCACAGGATGATGGTTTCCGTCATTGTCAGCTTGGCTCAGCACGGCTCCCAGCCTGACGTTGGACGCATCCATGAAGATTGTAAACTTGTGTTGGAAGTTTGGGGCTCTCAGGACTGTCAGCACTGTCTTCAATTTGTTAAAGGCTTCCTCGCAGTGGATTTTCTCAGCTTGTCTTTTGTGGATTAGATTAGACAGGGGTGGTAGCCGGCTAACCCTAGAAAAGCTCTCTCTCTCTTTTTTTTTTTGATGTTGGCTTGGGCCAATTGTTAATAGCCTCTATTTTGGATTCAAGGGGTTTGATGCCTCCACCTACTACATGGTCTAAATATTTTAATTCTGAGCTCTCCAGTTGGCATTTAGTTGCTTTAACTGTTAAACCAGCCTCATGTAGTCTCTGTAGCACTGTTTCAAGGTGGATTTTGTGCTCTCCCCAGGTATCTATTTTATGCACTACACCCTTGGTTACACTAGGCTTATTAGAAAAGACGCTTGTATTTTAGCAGCAAGGCTCTTGCTTTTTCTTGTTGCTCTGGTGATAGAGTAAGGCTACTTTTGACTTTCTCCGGGTTGTACTGGAGTTCACTCCTTCTCAATACTGTAATTCAGGTTTTTCATTAGGCGTTTCTTTGATGGTATACAAAACATAATTTTCCTTCCTATAATATGGACAGGAGTGATGTGGGGCGATCGTCATAAACGTGTATTCTCATAACATTAGCAGAGTGAGGAGATAATGGTTAGCAGAGATACTATGGCACTATGATACTGAGAGAGTAAAAATTAACTTAGTCTATTTACATATATACATAGAGAATAGACATTCATCTGGTAACATGACATGATACAACACACAACATAGGAAAAAGTGATCTGACTTGCAGCATATACAATGTCCCATTTTCACATGACTTATGTACAGTTGTGGGACCAATCAAAGAATACATTATCTTCATCATCTTCAGTTACATAAGGTTTTATCATCTACTACAGCTGTACAGCATTTAGTCTGAAACCTTGATCCACAGCTGAATACAATCTATACATGACTCTGGTAAAATCAGCTATCAGCCCTTTTTCATTTAACTACTAGAGATCTCTTTTCCTCAGTGGCTGGCATCAACTCCTCCGAATGGACTTCAAACCAGTCTGCCATCTGTTTGGTCTTCTTGCCAAATGTGGATAAGGTGGTGTTATCAACAGCATTCTTGAAATGTTCTCATCATTCAGGTACATTTGCATCAGCCGGGCCTGGAAGAGTTTCCTCAAGCGCTTGGGCAAATTCTTCAACTTTTCTCTGATTGCGAGTCTTGCTGATGTCAGTACGTGATCTTCCTTCCTTTTTTGTGTGATACAGTCTCTTTATTCACAGTTTTATTTGCTTCACGCTAGGGAGTGATCAGTATCTCAGTCCAGCACCCTGACAACTGCATGTGATCATAATACTAGGAAGGCTAGAGCATCTAGTGAGGATCAGATTGAGCAGATGCCAGTGCTTCAATTTTGGATGTCTTCAAGAGATTCTGTGTTGAAGCTTCATATTAACGAACGTTTTGCTGACACAATCAAATGAATCATATTTGGGTAGGAAGGCGAAAAAGTCTCTTAACAGCAGGCATATAGAAAAAGGTGATGACATTAAAAATATTTTGGGCAGTCAGCTTGCAGTTACTGTGCCTGGTCACCTCCTTCCTCATTTTTAAGAGACTGCTGAAGATGTTTCTCTTTGAAGAGGCCTTCAAAGACAGCCTCACTTCAATTTTCACCTTTTGCCCTTCTGTTTTAACTGAAAACATTGTGGCTGATTGCTAATTAAGTTGTTTGTTTGCGCTCTTATGTTTTAATGATAGTTCTATTTTATTGTGTGTTATATTCATAGTAAATGTCTGCTAATTTGTCTTGAGGAATATAAACACATTTTCTAAATTACAGTGGTGCCTCGCATAGCGACGTTAATCCATGCAGCAAAAATCGCTGCAAAGCGATTTCGTCGCTATGCGAAATTAAAAAGCCCATAGTAACGCATTGAAACCCCTATGGACTGGAAACTAACCTTTAAGCGAAGATCCTCCATACAGCAGCCATTTTCGCTGCCTCTAAAGCGAGGAATCGGCGCGAAAACACAGTGGGTGGCCATTTTGTTTACCCGGTGGCCATTTTGGAACCGCCGATCAGCTGTTAAAAAATCATCACTTTGTGGTGATCGGTAAGTGAAACAGCGAACTGGTCATCGCAAAGCAAAAAAACCCCATAGGAAACATCGCAAAGTGATCGCTTTTGCGATCACAAAAAGTTCATCGGTATGCGGTTTCGGCGCCTGTTAAGCGAGGCACCACTGTATAGAAGACTTGTGCTAATTATATTGTAGTATCCCATGCTTGATATTCTTAAAGGTACAAGGTATTATGGGTTATACTGTGTGTTGGTTTGAGTTCCTGACTCTGCAACCTTAAATGTGTTCATTTATCAAGTTGTGCATTACCTCGTAGAAATGTATAGAACGCCCAAAGCTTTGGAATGCCTCAACTATTACTGAGTCTTCTCTGGAGCTGTCCTTGGTGCTTGCTCAATAATCTGAAAGCAGAGATCTCTAAAATATTTCAATACAAAAGATACTGGCCAGAATTTAGAACCTTTTATTTTTCATTAAATTTTAAGGACTCCCAAATAATTCTGAACATGCTTTCCCAAATGTAAATGACTTTAGTGGAATTCAAATGCCCATTAAGCATATTTAAAATTGCAGAACTTATTTGTAGGCATTCTTTAGTCTCGAGAGACTATGGTAACGTGCTCTGTATGGAGGACTTGGAACAGCACCTAGTGTGGCTGGGAAGGCCAATTTGAGAGTGACACTCCCTTCCACACTGAAGACAAATACAGTCTGTCCCCTATCCAACTCCCTGATTTTGCTGCTTTTGGGACTGCCTCTTCGCCTCAGCCTGCTGGACAAGGGTCTCTTCAAATAACTTAATATAGACACCTCATTCAGTGAGCTGCTGGTACATTCACACTGATGTAGTTATGGTTCATTTTTTATTTGCTGCTAGCATGGCATAATGATGCCCAGACATTAAACTGAGCTAGATATTAAGGAAGAAGAGTATAACATGACGCATGGCAGCCATTTTACACTGTGCCCCCCTTCCCCAGCTCCTTGTAGTAAATATATATGTCCTACTAAAACAGTAGCAATGATCAGTTTTGTTGAATGAGCCAATTATAAGCTCTATGAGAAATGAAGAAAGCCTTAAAATGGATGTCCAGAAAATGGTGTGAAAGTGCATTCTCCACTGTAATTTTTCCACTGAATTAAAGAACACAGATGCAATGCCAAAGAAGTTTAGGCTTAAAGTATAAACTTTTTTGACTTCAGACTTATTTAGATTTTGTCTAACTATGTTTGTGATTCTAACATGATGCTTGTGGAGTTGTCAAGATTTAGCATTGTCTTTCCTGCAGACCTTTCATTGTAACCCTTTCTGGCTTCTCAAAATATACACTGTAGGATTTTCTAGCACTCCAGAGTAGATTTTGGAGTGCTCTGTGGGCTACAGTGGTAAGGAAGATTGTGTGAGTGGAAATCCATCATGTGTGCTCTTAACCAACGTATTTCATTGCATGTTGATGCTTTACCAAGCCGTCTGGTAGTTTCCTCCTTCCATGTGCAGTGTTGGTGGCAGGGTTTTCAGTATTCAGGAGGAAATCTGGACAGATGTGTGGCGTTCAGCTCTGCTCTCACCTGTCCGTCACAGCTGGACAGGGGAACCTCAGCCAATAAGAGGACAGAGGGTGGTGCAGAAGTGGGAGGAGCTGAGTTATATAAGGTGTGTGCGATGTGTGAGATGAGATCAGAGATTGAGAGATGAGAGTTTAGAGTGATTAAGAGAGAGAGTGAGAAAGAGCCTGTCAGTGAGGGAAAAGTCTGTGTGAGCTAGTGTCTGAGAAGCAGTGATTGACTAATTGAATTAACACCTGTGATTCACCCTTTTTATTTTTGTGAGAATCAATAAACACTTTATTTCATTTTGAAAGAAACACTTGTCCTTTTGATTTTAAGGATAGGTTAGTGGCAGCAAGTTTTGATAGAGAAGTAGTGAGCACTCTTATAGGCCTGGATGGGTAGAGGCTTGAGAGTGGCCTGCTACATGTAGCTAATACAGTTATAGGTATACCATTAAAATTCTGTTACATGCATCATTTTCTAAAGTTCTCACTGTCAATTTTGTCCCTCTTTTTCATGTAGGTCACTTTGCCTGGGATAAATACTTGAAAGAGACGTGTTCCATCCCAGCTCCTCCCCATTGCTTCAAGCAGGTAATGGGGCATTCCATGTTGTAGAAGAGTTGAGATGAAGGGGTCTGTTACTCACTGGAAGTTGAATGAATTTGAAATAGATTCTTGTATCTTCTCCTTACTGGCAACAGCAACTGATGCAGGGACCTCCTTGTAAATTATAGAACAGTGCCAAAAAAATAGGTCCAGAATGATGAAAAAATAGGTCTAAGAATGATGAAAAAAACCTAACCTTAGATCACAGGAGGGTTTATAACGGGACCTTTGGATATCTTTGAATGTGACCTATGTAGAAATCTAGATAACCATATATGCTGGCATGGATTTTATTTTTACTTTAGCCATAATGTAGGTTAATTCCTTGGCATGAGGAGGAGATTAGTTTCTTAATGTGAGTGGTGATTAGAATTTTAACATGGTTCCTTCAAGAGAGGGGTGTACTGAAGTATTATTAGCAATGCTGTTACAATACTGCAAAAAGGGCTGAAGCCTTGATAGAACATATTGACATATGAGAGCATCATACCCACTATTCTGTTTACTATTACAGGGACACTGAGATGGTAAGAAGGGAGGTCTAGGAGTGGTGCCAAACTCCAGGCCAAAATTTGTGGATGTTTGCATGCGGAAAGCCCCAGATTCTATCTCTGGCATTTCCAGTTAAATTAAAGTGGAAAGGAAATTGGAAGAGCTCTACCTTAGTGGTAAACATAGGCAGTGTTGGCTTGGTGGAGCCCTTTTGTGTTTATAATTACTGCAGAGGGAAATTTATGCTCAAAAATATTACTACAGTTTCTAATCAGTAACACAGCAAATTCTGTTTATTTCCAAAATTACTGCATTTTTGATTACTACATCCTACTGTAAACCATAGGGGACGTGGTGGCGCTGTGGTCTAAACAGCAGAAGCCTGTGCTGCAGGGTCAGAAGATCAGCAGTCGTAAGATCAAATCCATGCGACGGAGTGAGCTCCCGTTGCTTGTCCCAGCTCCTACCAACCTAGCGGTTCGAAAGAATGCAAATGCAAGTAGATCAGTAGGGACCACTTCGGTGGGAAGGTAACAGCATTCCGTGTCTAAGTCGCACTGGCCACGTGACCACGGAAGATTGTCTTGGGACAAAACGCTGGCTCTATGGCTTGGAAATGGGGATGAGCACGACCCCTAGAGTCGAACTCGACTGGACAAAAAATTGTCAAGGGGAACCTTTACCGTTACCTTACTGTAAACCGTAAATATAATAACAGAATAAATGTGAAGTTACAAAATCCATAGTAGCAGTAGGATTGTTTGTGTCTGCATTGTGTTGGGAGAACGATGAAAGTGGTTTATGGGATGTAAGATAAATAACATTGACAACCATTACTTTAGACCCTAAATGCTGCTCCCAATCAAAATTTCTCCATAACGGCTATACAAGACAGTTTCCTGTGACCGTAGAAGTGTTGATCAACATGTTGCTATAGACCAGCATGTTGCTGTAGCACAGAGTGTAGAACCAATAGCAGAGTAGGACTGGTTAATGTCTGTTTGTGTTTCTGAGAAATGATTTGGCTGTATTTTATTTGAAAAGCAGAGAAGAGGGACAGGGAAGAACAAATGGCCAGCTGGAGGCTGGCCAGCACTGGGGCAATGTGATCAACTGTTCATGACTTGATTTCTTTTTCTTTTCTTTTTTCCACTTGTTCCCTGCACCTTTTTATTTCTCATTATGCAGTAGGAAACTAGTTCTAATAACCCTTCGATTTCAGGTACAGTGGTGCCTCACTTGACGACATTAATCCGTTCCAGCAAAATCGCTGTAGAGCGAAATCGTTGTCAAGCGAAATAAAAAAGCCCATTGAAATGCATTGAAAACTGTTCAGTGCGTTCCAATGGGCAAAATACCTGCTTGTCCAGTGAAGATCCTTCATAGGGCGGCTATTTTCTGCTCCCTGTATAGCGAAAAATCCGTCCTAAAAACAGCAGGGAGCCATTTTGCACAGCAGGTGGCCATTTTGGAAACTCCATGATAAGCTGTTTTGATAGTCGTAAAGCGGAAAATCGATTCCCGAAGCAGGGAACTGATCATCGTAAAGCGGGTTTTTCCTTTAGAACATCGTTTTGCGATCGCAAAAGCCATCGCAAAAACCTAATTGTCAAGTGGATTCGTTGTTTAATGAGGTAATCGTTAAGCGAGGCACAACTGTACTAGGAATAATTCAGGAATTGAGAATGGGGATCTCAGAAGGAAGGAAAATAGTGTAAGTCTTATTGAAATTCTTGTTCTCCTTAGTCATATACCCCACCGACCAATGAATTCAAGATCAGTATGAAACTAGAAGCCCAGGACCCTCGAAACACCACTTCCACCTGTATTGCTACTGTCGTTGGACTGACAGGTGCCCGTCTCAGATTACGCCTAGATGGCAGTGACAATAAGAATGACTTCTGGCGTCTGGTGGATTCTGCAGAAATACAGCCCATTGGCAACTGTGAAAAAGTTGGAGGCATGCTGCAGCCTCCTTTGGGTGAGTTCAAGCTCTGTTTGAGAGCTGTATTATTTGCATAAGAGAATAAGATTGTGTCTAGTGTCATTTAATAGATGGTTAGAGTTTTAACTGTCAAATATATATATAAAGTGTCATTATGAGGTTGGTCTTCTGATAAGTTGTTCTGTTAAGACTATCACCTGCTAGATTGCCTGTTTTGTTATTAGTCTGTATGCTTGTATGTTTGTTATTAGTCTGTAACAGTTAGTAAGGAAAATGTTAGGAAACTGATATGACTGGTATGAATATTATAAGAAGTCTGTCAAGCATATACCAAGTCAAATATGATATTTTTAAAATTTTCAGCATATTTCTTATGTAGATGTTCTTACAGTTTACTATGACTGAATTATTCTTTTATCAGCTGGCAAACACAAAAACATATCAAGGGACAATACAGTGGTGCCTCGCTTAACGACGAATCCGCATAGCGATGCGGATTTTGCGATCGCAAAAGCGATCGCATTGTGATGTTCCCTATGGGGAAAAATTGCTTTGCGATTTTTCCCCATAGGCCCCTTCAGAAGCGCCCGCCGGCCAGCTGGGCGAAAATGCCAGCGGGCTCTTCGGAAGGACCACGGGGGAGCCCTCCCCCGTGGTCCTTCGGAAGCGCCTGCCGGCCAGCTGGGCTAAAATGCCGGTGGGGCCTCTGGGAGGACCGCGGGGGAGCCCTCCCCCGGGGTCCTCCCAAAGGCCCCCTTTTCGCACAGCGCCACTGGGTGCAGAAAATGGCCGCCCACAGCATTTTCGCGCCCTGTCCTCGCTTACCAGGCAGCGAAAATGGTGGCCAGATGAAGGATTCCCCGCATAGCGGTGAGTTTTTCCCCAATAGGAACGCATAGCGACGAATCCGGATAGCGACATTAATCCTAGAATGGATTAATATTGTTATGCGGGGCACCACTGTATTATTCATAATCTCTGTATTGTTGTTTTTAAATTCACTCTTACTCTTCTGTGTGCAAACTCACAAAAACTCAACAGTTACAGTTCCCCTGAAAATACAGGTGTTCAGCTTAGGTGTGATCTTCAATTCGTCCCTGAACCTGCATGTCCAATTTTCATTGGTGACCAGGAATGCATTTCTGTAACGATCACCTCTCTCTAAAGAGAGTATGATGTTTAGACTGGGAGTCACTGTGGGTGCAAAAGTACCACCTATATCTCTGCAGTATGTCCTTTAGTTCTCAGAAGTGTGTAGCATAAGCCCCACAGACTATTCGGCCCTAAAAGAAAACCTTTGTTTACTTTTCTAGTAACCAAGCATTGACTTTGTGCTTCCTTGGATAGCACAACAGCCTTGTAAAGTAGGACCACTCAAACATAGTAACAACTTAGTGACCTTCTCAAATCTCTACTGGATTTAGGTGTAAGTCCTGCTGTTCAAGAGACAAGTCCTCTGTAAGAATTATATTTGTTTATATTAGGAAAATAAAGTAGTTTTCATTAGAATACAGTTGTTGCAATAAAGTACAGTGGTGCCTCGCATAGCGAGGTTAATCCGTTCCGGATTAACCTTCGCTATAGCGAAACATCGCTGTGCGGAAATAAAAAAGCCATAGAAACGCATTGAACTTCGTTCAATGCGTTCCTATGGCTTGAAAACTCACCGCTGTGCGAGGTTCTGCCATAGCGCCGCCATTTTCGCGCCCTCGGTAAGCGAGGGCAGGGCGCGAAAATGCGGCGCAGACCTACCGGCGGCCATTTTGGAACCGCCGATCAGCTGTTCTCCCCCGCTTCGTTATGCGATATTTGCTAAGCGAATCGCTTAGCGAATATCACAAAGCGAAAAATCGCCATAGGGGCCATCGCTGAGCGAATGCTCCAGCGATGGCCCAGAGCACCTCGTTAAGCGATTTCATCGCTCAGCGAGGCGCTCGTTAAGCGAGGCACCACTGTATAAGCATATAATATATCCACCCATTACAATAGTTAAATAAAGCTGCTCTTTCTAAATAAAGTAAGAACAACTAAAATCTAAGCTAAGTAATCATTCTGATTTCTAAGCTGGGCTATTCACTCCCCCTCTTCCTCTTTTCAAAAGGCAAATCTTTTTTCTCTTACATTCTGCAAGGATTCCTCAACATGCCATGATTTCGCATGCACAATCATGTTTAAGACCTCCTTCCTGACACTGCCTATCCATCAACCAGTTAATCGCAACAACGCTTAACGCAACTCAGACATGGGGCAAATCTTTTGCTAGCACAGAGCCAGGGGAGCGCAGCTTGACAAAGCAGCCAGAGGCAAAGTGTCCTGCTCCCCCACAGTACAGGCAGAGATTCTGTGAACTGTGTCGTGTTTTTTCCTCAGGGGTGAGGCGTGGCCGAGCAGCCCCTAGCTGCATGGGCTCAAAATCCTCTCCTCCAGTGCCAGCGGGCGCCAAGAGTGGCTGTGAGGAACGAGAGCCACCCCATACTAGGCATCGGCTCTCTAGGCATCCAGCAGTGCGAAGGCACAGCGTGATTAGTTCTTGCAGTGTATTGGGTTGGTCTACACATGGCAGCTCATCTAGGATATCATCAGCCAGCCCCTCCATATATGGATCCATGAGAGCCACCTTGTTCCAGACCAAGTCTTGGGCCAAGAATCTGAACTCAATGGAATGCTGGGAAACTGAACCCTTACCCTGTTTCAGGGCCCGAATCTTCCTATTGGCAGGAAAAACCTCCCATGGATTCAAGGGCTATGGCAATAGTCCTGAAAAGTAGGGAAGATAGCCTAATTTTAATAAATGCATATATTCCCCCACTCACTTTAAAATTACAAATAACTGAAGTCTGGCACTCTTTAGCGACATGTATAGCAAACCTATTGGTAGATCACCCTAAGGCAAAGGTGCTACTTTTAGAAGATTTTAATGCACACCTCAGCCCTGATGATACTAATCTTGAATCAAAGTACAAGGAATTTTTAGTGATCTGGATGATTTTCAATAATTTCTCCCCTCCTAGGCTTTTCAGGGATTCATATTCAAACCTCGCAGGACTGTATTTGGCCAAGATAGCCTCCAAGTTAGGTTTGTACCTTCTGAATGGCACTTTTCTGGAGTATCATCCCGCAGAGTTCACCTACATGTCAAGCCAAGGATCCAGTACTGTTGACTATATATTAGTTTGTGCCTCTCTAATCCTGCTGATAACCAGCTTTCAAGAGTTACCCTATTTAGAGAGTGACCATTTTCCCTTACTGCTTCAGGTTAAACCTTTATTTACAACTCAAACTATGACTGATCAGCCTTCACATGAAGGCTTGCAAGTACTAACTCGTAGGGTGACATGTTCTGCACAAATGCAGTCCAGGTTCAGAGAAGTAATAGAGGCCAAAGATCACCTGTAGCGAACAGCCCTGCCCTCACCTGCCTGTCACCGCAGAGAGAGAAGTTCTGTCTGTGGCGGGAGGCCTAGCTGGGGGCAGAGGCCTAGACACTGTTGCTAGCGTACCAGAGCTGGTGAAGCAGCAATAACACAGACTAGCACTGACAGGAAAAAAGTGTACTTTTAAATTGAGGCTTGTAAGTTGGATCTGAAGCCTGAGGGAAGGAAAATGCCTTTGACTAGGGGAAAGAAAGCTGAGCAGGTGCCTTATGAAATGGCAGCTGGGTCAGACAGTGAAAATGGGGATGTTGAGGAAGGATTTACCTCAGCTCAGGAGGGAGAGTCCTCAAGGGAAGACCCATTAGAGTTCAGAAAATGGAGCTTTGAGCTGGAGATGAAGGCCAAAGCTGAGGAAAGGGCCTTAGTAATAGAGAAAGAAAAACTGGCCTTACAAATGGAGAAAGAAAAAAATGAAGATGCAGGCCAAAGCTGAGGAAAGACAAATGGCCTTAGAAATGGAGGAAAGACTGAGGCAGAGAGAAATGGAGGCCCAATTAGAGAAAGAGAGAATGGCTTTTGAGCTTAGGAAATTAGAACTGGAAGTTCAGGCCAACAATAACAGTAATAACATTAGCAGAGATGATTCTGAGGGAAGACAGTTGTCAAAAGCAGATCTAAAGAAATTCCCTGTTTTTAGAAAAGATGATCCAGAATCATTCTTATTGATGTTTGAAAGAGCTTGTGAAGATTTTTCTGTGAGGGATTCTGAAAGAATGATAGTATTGAGATCCCAAATTAGTGGTGGACTGGCAGAAATCTATGCAGAGATGCCTATAGAATTAATTAAAGATTATAATGAGTTCAAAAGGTTAGTGCTTGCCAGGTATGGCATAAATTCTGAACAATTGAGACTGAAATTCAGGTCTTTGACCAAGAAACCTGATGAGTCTTACTCTCAGTTAGGGGCCAACCTGTCCAGATATCTAGACAAGTGGCTGGCACGGGAAAATATTGAGACAGTAGAAGACCTTAAAAATATTTTTGGATTGGAGCAGTTCTAGTCTCTCTTACCTGGAGAACTGAGATTTTTGGTCAAGGACAAGAAACTGGGAAATTTGAGAGAGGCAGGGGAGATTGCGGATTTCATTTCCCAGATCAGAAAATCAAGTGGTTATGAGGGGAAGGTTGTGAGAAAAGTGTGGGAAGACTCCAATAAGTACCCCAGAGGACAATTTAAAAACCAGCAGAAGGTTGG